TAAACGGACCCTTAATTTTTGATGCTTAAAATTAAATATAAATAAAAAGAGCATTGAGGTATATACCACACACTTTTTATATATACACACACTAATACCTTTATTTTTTTATATTTACAAGAATCATATTCAAATTTATTTTATTATAATTCATGTTTATGCCAATCAATTCAATTGATTTAAATTTTTATATATGTATGTCATAATAGCTATACATGAAAATGTGCATTTTTTTTTCAAAAGTTAAAATAAAAATAAAGTGTCAAAATAGCTCCCGATTATTTACACTGGAATATTTTAATCACATAATTTATAGAAGTGTCAAAATAGTCTATAAAATTGAGTTCTAATAGTCTTTTAACGAAACTATTTTATCACAAATATAAATAGTCAATTGACTATTTTAATACTTTAATAAATTCTAGCAGTAAAACAATCCAATATAAATGATTAGAGATAATTTAAACGGACCAGAACCCTAATCCACGAGCGTCGGTTCGCTGCAAAAGCCCACCCGGAGTTTCATCCCGCAAGATAAACCCAGGGAATGTCTTTCCTAATACAAAACCCTCGCCTCATCCTCCCTGCTCATCGCCTCCCTCTTTCCTTATCACCGTTGAGAAACCCACGCCAACTACTACATGGCGCGACCATCCCCTCAGCCACCCTCTCCTCTCCTCACAGCAATCTCAGCTCCTCAGAGATCCTCTCTATCCGAGATTCTCTCCTCTCCGGACGGAGAACGGCCTCTGAAATCGCTGGAGAATACCTAGAGCGCCTCCATAAGGTGGAGCCGAAAATTCGGAGCTTTCTTTATGTGTCAGAGTCTGCAATGAAAGAGGCGGAAGCGGTGGACCGAATGGTCGCAGCTGGGAGGCAGCTGTCCCCGCTGGCTGGTGTTCTCATTGGTGTGAAAGATAACATCTGCACCTTTGATATGCCTTCTACGGGCGGATCGAAGATTCTGAAGGGTTATAGGCCAGCGTTCGATGCCACTGCGGTGAGGAGGCTTAGGGAGGCGGGAGCCATTGTCGTGGGGAAAACGAATTTGGATGAGTTTGGAATGGGGAGCAGCACTGAGTGTTCTGGATTTCAGGTTTTCAATCTCAATACTTCTGTTTTCTATGCTTATTAGATTTTTATGATAAATGTTTAAAACCAAACATATTATTGAATGCTCATTCACCAAACTGAAAAATTCTACTCATACCAATGCAATGGGGTTTTCACTTGGCAACCACCCAAAACATTGAATGTAACACTTTAGTCATCCAAAACATTGAATATAACATTTTAAGCATCTTTTTTTCATTACAACCATCCTCCTTTACGAAATAGTGAACTGTCTTGAGTGAAAGTTTTGGGTGGTTAAAATATTGTTTTTAAAGTTTTGAGTTGTTAAGATGTTATATTTAAAATTCCCCCCTTGTTTTCTAGTACACCATTTATAAACTTGCAGTGCACTTAAAAGAATCTCACATCCAACGGGTGTCAAGATTGAAAGTGTAAAAAAAAAAAAAAAATTTATGGAGTCAAAGCTAATCTTTTTATTGTTTTAAGGACTATCTATTTACAAGTTTCTTTCATATGGTAGTATGGCTCATAGTATTGTTTGGTTCATGGAATAAAGCCAAAAAACACAAATTTTTCAGATGAGGCGGTGACAAATAGGGTGGCGAAAAAATGGCATAATTAGGCTAGAATTGGAAAAATTAAAATTCAAATAAGGAGATGGCTACAATACTGAGTTGATTAGTTAAATAATAGGCAAATATTTATCGAACAAATGAGGAAGAGAAAACTAAAAATTATAAAGTACTTTTGCTAATAAAACATAGGATGAATTTCATATGCATACCACTCAGTTCTTACTTATTTACATATCTAACACCTAACATCAATTCTTACATATTAGCCACTCTACCTATGCATGAAAAAGTGCATACTGATATTTACTATTTTTTATGAGTAAAGATTTGGGTGGCATGAGCCTAAAAATCATAGTATAGGTGTTCGATATGTAAATACATAAGAATTGGGTGGCATGCATGTAAGTGCCCCTGAAACAAAACCTATGGAACACTATGACGAGGAACAAGAGCCCTTGTGAAATAGTCTAAAGTGAATTTCTATCCGTATAAATGAGAAAATATAAATAGTTGAATTCAAATTTACCCGAGTAAAGAAGAGGATTGGTATAATGATGGAATTAAATATGAAACACAAAAAACTTGAATTTATGGCAATTAAACCTAACCTGATCCATCCATGCTATGAGCCAATCCAAATAATTTAGTAAAACTAATGGATGAATCTTGTCATTTCTAAAAAATGTTGTGACCAGATGTAGAAACACAAATCTCAATCAATAACAAGTACATCGAGACTAATTTTTACTCCAATGATGACATTGCTTGTTTTAATGTTCACCTTTAGTCTATTGCTTCCTTAGAGTAATCGATTGATATCTTCACTAAATTTTATCCGCAATGATGATTAAAAGAATACAACTCAAATTGGCATGTTTTATTCCATGTTTAGTTTTTGGGTGAGTGATGCCATATATGTACAAAATCAAATATAGATAGGAATTGTCATTATTCATTGTCAAGATATACTTTTTTATTCTATTTTCTTTTATTGTTCTCTTATTTTACTTATATTATAGGTTTCTTTGTGATTATATAGAGAATCAATTAAGTAGGGATCAAGTTCTCTCCAATTATAAATTTCTCTAACACAATTCAATCAACGTTTATAAAAAAATGATGCTTTTTCTTTATTCATCTTTTTTTTTTGCTGTATTTTAAATTCTTTGGTGAAATTGTAGGATGTTGGAGGACAAATAAAAAAAAGTACCGTCATGATAATTTATGTAACCCATATTTTCTATCAAATTGTTTAATGATTCTTGGACACCTTGTTTGTTAGAATCATAGTGTTTAGCTCTAAACATGGTGTTCGAACAAACACTCAATAAAAACAAAATGCAACTACTGCTATTATGCGAGGGGGTTCCAAAACAAGAAATTTCACCCATGAATGAATGGAGTAATTGCGGAACATGAAATATTGGCAATTTTTTCGGGGGTTGTTTGTAGCACAATTTAATAGGATTTTTCATCGACTTTACTAAATCCAATCAAACGCTAAAATGCAGGAATTCCGTGGATTTAGGAATGTTTGAATTTAGGGTCCCAAATTTTGTCTTTGTTTCGACTTAAATCCATATTTACTAAATCTATGGATATGGTGGATTTCAAGGATTTACCAAATTTTACTAACGTTAAATCCTACTTGCAGCCAAACACCCCCTCAATATCAAGAGCAATATTAGAAATTTGTTAAAGGTGTCTTGTTGTTTGCTTATCCTTGAATTTCTTGACCACTATGTTTTCAATTTCTAGAGCATTTTTTATATGGAAGGCTTACATACATACCACTCAATTATCATGTATTTACCTATCTAACTCCTAAACTTTAATTTTTACATACATACCACCTTACCTATGTATGAAAAGTTGTATTTCACTTTTTAGAAGTTAAAATGGTTGTATTTTGGTTGTATTTAGAAGTTAAAATGGTTGTATTTTCTATGTGATATAAAAGATTTGGGTAGTTTAAAAGCAAAGTTTAGGTGTTAGATATGTAATACTTAGGAATTGGGTGGTGTGTATGTAAATGCCGCTCTTTACATTTTTGAGAAATTTTGAACATAATGCAATCCTATTAATGTGATGTATATATAGGTCACTGCAAATCCTTGGGATCTGTCACGTGTTCCCGGAGGGTCATCAGGGGGATCAGCTGCCGCTGTTTCCGCCAGGCAGTGTGTCGTATCTTTGGGAAGTGACACTGGCGGTAGTGTTAGGCAGCCGGCATCCTTCTGTGGCGTTGTTGGAATGAAACCAACCTATAGTCGAGTTTCTCGGTTTGGGCTCATGGCTTATGCATCATCATTGGACGTCATTGGCTGTTTTGGTTCTTCTGTTGCTGATGTATCGATTCTTCTTAATGTGATTTCTGGTCACGACAGATTGGATTCTACCAGCAGCAAGCGAGTAAGGATATAGATTTGCTTTGTTGATCTTTTTCTTGTTATTATTGGCCTGTCTCGACCATAGGTTTATGAAATATTTTGGTTTTATGTTTCTACATTACATGACAATGATAGATAATTTGAAGTTTACAAATGTAGTCCATCACCATTTTTGCTGTTCTCTACTGACATTCACGCATTAGCTACTTTGAGGTAACCAAAAGACAATGTAGAATAAAGGGGGACAATATATAGGGTTGTTATTTTTGCTTGAATTAACTTTCATCCTTTATTTTATAGCTCAAAGAATTGATTTGCATATAAATAAAGTGAAAATTGCAGTTGCACTTCTTTTCCTTTTTTTTTACATGCGGCTAACATTTGCCTTAGGTGCTTTCTTTTTTATTTTTGTTATTGTTAGGGGTACAATCAACTCGTTGCAAAATTTAATTTTTTATGACTTTGTCTGCTATTTGAGATCATTTTATTATTGGGGCATTTGCATGCATACCACATAGTTTTTTTGTATTTACATATCTAATACCTTAGCATTCATATTTACGTGAATACCACTCAAATTTTTAATACCACATAAAAGATACCACGATTACTACCTTTTTAAAAGTGAACTGGAGTTTATGAATGCGAGGTGTTATAATTGTAAATAGCAAACCTTAGTTGTTAGATATGTGAGCACATATAAGAATTACGTGGTATTTATGTAAATTTCCTTTTATTATTATAACAGAACAAGAATTGCTGACCCATATCTGTAGCTTTCCCCCTGCCTTTCAGGATGTGCCAGACTTTGCAAATGAGTTGGCCTCACTAAATAATTTTGATTCAAAACCTTTAAAGGGATTAAGGGTTGGACTGATTCGGGAAACTATTGGAGAAGGAGTTGATGCAGGAGTTTCTTCAGCAGTGCAAGCTGCCGCTTCACATCTGGAGCATTTAGGATGTGTTGTAAATGAGGTTTTGCCTCTTCAACTCTTGTTTCATCTTTTAATGTGTTAGAAGCAATCATACAATGATATTTTATTTGGGCATTAAATGCATGCCACTCAAGTCCCATGCATTTAAATATCTGTCACCTAAACTTTGCTTTTCGCATTTATACCACCCACCTTTTAAATTTTGCAATCTGAGGCGTGCCTTGAGGTTTGCCTCAGTATAATTCCAAATAAAAACTCTTCCAGACGGACGCCTCGGGCAGCTTGGGCGAGCATGTGCCTCATATTGGTTGAGGCGCAACCTAATTTCGCTGATATTTAATATCACATAAAAGGTGAAATACTCCTTTCATGCATAGGTAAGTTGGCATATTAGTAAAAAATTGAAGTTTAGGTGTTAGATTTGCAAGCACACAAGAATTGAGTAGTATGCATCTTCATATTTTATTTTATCGATCATGTATTTTAGATTATTATATGTCGTTGTGATCAATTGCAGATATCATTGCCTTCATTTTCTCTTGGCCTGCCTGCTTACTACATATTGGCTTTATCAGAGGCATCTTCTAATTTATCACGTTATGATGGTGTAAGGTGATAGTTTCCCATATCATTTTTGTAATATTCTCTGCTGAAACCAGCTTCTTTTTATTTCATGGGAACTTTACATACGGAGCACATAATTCGTATGTATTTACGTATCTCACGCCTAAACTTTCATATTTAACAACAGAGCACTTCGGTGCATTAGAGTCCTATGCATGAAAAGGTGTATTTTACTTTTTAAGAAGTGTATTTTTTATGTGACATTAAAGATTTGAGTGCTGTGTGTGTAAATATGAAAATTTAGGTGTGAGATATTGAAATACATGAGAATTATGTAAATGCCTCTTTATTCATTATGAGTAGTTGCTTGTCGTCATTATCAACATTTCATTACTATCTTGTTTATTTTCTTATCTCAGGTATGGAAACCAGGTTGGAAATGAAGAACTGAGTTCTCTTTATGGTAGCTCTAGATCAATTGGTTTTGGTGATGAGGTGCGAGAATTTCGATCTTTTAAAAAAAAAAAATACCCTTGCATGATTTGCAAGTTTAACTTTGAGGGTCTTCTATTTAATTATTTATTTAGGTCAAAATGAGAATCCTAATGGGAACATACGCACTCTCCGCGGGCTATTACGACGCATACTATAAAAAAGCGCAGCAGGTTGGATTGATTTAGTGTTGTTTGTATGAGTGTGTTGACGGAGGCACTTTTGAGGGAAATAAATATCAAAACAAATCTGATTTGCAGTCTTGCAGGTGAGAACATTGATTCAAAAGTGTTTCAAGGATGCAATGAATGACAATGACATTCTCATTTCACCTGCTGCTCCATCAGCTGCTTATAAGATAGGTATTCCTTTTGGGGAATTTACATACATACCACACAATTCTCAGATATTTACAATCTACCACGGAAACATTCATATTTACATGCATACTACTCAAATCCTTAACATCACATCAAAATACCACCATCACTACTCTTTTTAAAAGTGACATTTTTTTATGCATAAACACTGAGGTGTTAAAGTGTAAATATAAAATTTTTGGGTGCTAGATATGTAAATGCATAAAAATTGTGTTGTATGAATGTAAATTTCTCATTCCTTGTTCATGCCAATTGCACCATACAAGCTCTGCTCTTATGGAACTACTGTTTTCTTTGTTGCCAGGTGAAAAGGCCAACAATCCTCTAGCAATGTATGCTGGTGATATCATGACTGTATGTGGCTCAACTCATCAATTCAAATGGTCTTTCATTGTTGATTATAATTTAGGAAGATTTACATACTTGCACCTAATCTTCAATTTTTACATACATATCACCTTACTCATGCATAAAAAGGTGTATTTCACATTTTAAAAGTTTAAAATGATGGTATTTTTTATGTGAAATGAAAGATTTGGGCGGTATCAGTGTACAAGCGAAATTTAGATCTTAGATATGTAACTACATGGGAATAGGGCATTTATGTAAATGCCCCTATACATGAAAAGGTGTATGTCACTGTAAACTTCAATTTTTACATGTCTGTCACCTTACCTATACATGAAAAGGTGTATTTCACTTTTTAAAAGTTAAAAAATAATGATAATTTTTTATATGATATTAAAAATTTGGGTGGTATAAATGTAAAAGGTGAAATTTAGGTGTTAGATATGGGAATAGATTGGAATCGGGTGGTAATCTTTGTTCATATTCTTTGTTATGCGTTGAGATGAAGCTAATATTGATGATTCTTTGCTATCCATAGTTTCATGAAACAATTGAGATTTTTTTTTTTTCTTTTGCGAAAATTTCATTTTCTTGTAGATTAAATCTTTGATATTGCATAACTATCAATTTTTATTTCATTTTTTTTTTATTTTTTATTTGCTTTTTGGCAGGTTAATGTCAACTTGGCTGGGCTCCCGGCCCTTGTTGTGCCATGCGGGTTTGTAGAAGGTGGACCAGTTGGTCTTCCTGTCGGACTTCAGATAATTGCTTCAGCCTTTTGTGAGGTAAGTGAGATTATAATTAGATTTTTTTAATTAGGGATAATTACATACAGATCATCCGAAATATTAATATTTACAAATTAACTGCCCATGTGATTTTTGTGAACTACCGAACCGATGTATTTACACGTGCCAGATCAAACTATTGAGAATTTGATAAAAATGAAAATTTTGATTTGGGCTTTTACCATGGAGTTTTTATATTTTAGTGAGAATTTGAAAAATTGATGGAAGAGGGACGTTGTTTTGTAAATAGCAAGTTTCGGGTGATCTATACGTAATTACCCCTTTTAATTATCAATCCCTATATGAAAAATGAAACTAACTTGTTTATGTCTTAACCTGGGAATATGTGCTTTATTTTGGGATTCTCTCTTATCTACTTGATACTTCCCCCAACTTCTCACTTAAGTTACAACCTTCTTATCATTGTTGATCAGTCAATTTATAAGAGGCTGTTTGGGATCTTTTTTTTTTCTCATTATTTTATTTTATTTTTATTTTATTTCGTTATGTTTTGATTTAAATTAAAACAGATGATTTTCTTTAAACACTCAAAATATTTTTAGGTGCTTTTAAGTGTTTTTTGAAAAACGAGTTAATTTGTTTTTAAAAACAAATAATAAAAGACATTTAACTACATACCACAAAATTCTTATGTATTTATTACATATCTAACACCTAAACTTTACTTTTTATATTTATGCAGCCCGAATCTTTCATATGACATCAAAAATGAAATACATTTTTTTTTTTTTTTTTTTTTTTTTTGGTAAGGTGGCCAACATGTATAAATTTATGGGTGTTAGATATGCAAATACATAAGAATTGAGTGGCATTTATGTGAATTTTTCAAAATAAATAAAACATATTAAAATTATACTATCAAATATATTTTCAAAAATAAATGAGAAAAAAACTAAAATTTGAATAAAAGTGATGCCAAACATGCCCAAATATTTTGTGTTAAGCTACTATATGTACTTGAACATGCAATTACCTAATAATCTTACACTTTGAGCAGGATGCATTGTTGAGGGTTGGCTATATCTTTGAGCAAACGCTTCAGAACCACAGATTTGTTCCACCACTATATGGATCAAGCTAGAGCTCCTTGAAATCAATGGTGCTTATCCTTGCGCTCTTTGAAATCAATGGTTCTGTCCTTGGGTTCGATGAAGGGATTCATTTGGATGTTAATCATGTTGAGAATTAATACATTTTACTATTCTTGGCTATTATTTTCACTTTCAGTGTATACTCATCTTTGTATTATCATGTATATTTTGTTTAATGTCACAATGGCTTTCCTTGGAGACTAATTTATCAAAGAATAAATATTGATGTTGTCTTTCTTTGGATTTGGTGTTTAATAGTGTTATTTAAGTATTCAAATGGATAATATGTTGTTTTAAGGAGCTATTTGGTTTGAATGATTTTTTTGGGTGAAGTTTTTCAGATATAGTGTTCTTGGAAATATTGGCATCTTGTTCAATGGAAAAGGTATCAGTGTTGATCTCACAGGAATCCAATGGCCTAGAAAAAGGAAGTACGATAAAGGGAGTTCTTCTGAAAGGGGCTCATCATGTTAATCAAGCCAAAAGGTGAATGGTTACTATTGACAGACCCATCCATAGATTCATTAGAAGAATGTTCGGGCTATCAATATTTGACCCAGAGAAGGTGATGTTGATATGATACAGAAATTTACCAGACACGTGAGTTGGCTCGATGCAAGTGTCAGCATCACAAGTATATTTAGGTTGGACCACCCCACATTAAAGTCAAATATCTTGCAATAGACGAATCTTCTGAGGATAGCTAATCACGCAAAGTCGACTTAGCAAAGTTGATCAAGCAAAGCTAATTAAGATAAAAGATGAGTAGAGGATGATTAATTACCTGCAAATTGTTGCAAGTCTCATTCGAATAAGGAGTAGAAATGTCTTTTTATTTATTTTGATAGATCCTTTATAAAAAGGTGAAGTATTTATTGTAGAAGGGCTAGACTAATTTTCATTGTGCATTGAGCATTGTGGACCCAGTATTGAAACTACTTTTCTCTATCTCTTTACTCTTCTCACAAGCTCTATTCCTTGGGCAAGTCCCATTGAAAATTTTGGATTCAACATTCTAAAATGTGTGGTGAGCGTAAATCATGTCACAAACAAGAAGAGAAGTAACTCAATGAGAAGAACCCCACAACTTGGAGATCAACAATAATGTGAAGCATACCCAGGTGTTTGTAGCCTACTAAATCAAAGATTTGAATGTCAAATGTTGGAGATAATCAGAGGTGTGTTGACCCAAGAGAGAGATCAACAAACCCACCATTCCCGACGCCGAACGACAGCAGTGTCCCCATGGCTCACAGTATCTTGACAATGTTGGATTGGTCCTAACCAATCATTGATTTGGGTGTATCAAAGGGCCACGCCAACCACAAAACTCATTCTCCTGACGAACTTATTAGATTGACCTCCATAATGATTCAAGATTCTAGCACCATAATCTTATAAAAGATGACCAACTCCAGCTAACCATATTACTTCTTTTGAGTCGATTGTATGCCTTCTAAAAAATGAACGATGTGCTAAAGTGTCAAAGATTTTTCACCATACCGGGAGATTCAACACTCGGATGGTTCAATGGATTACCATCGAAAGTAATCAAGTTGTTCGTAGATTTTAAACCGATGTTCGGCACGTTATTTGCCGGTGCTTAAAAATCTTAAAAGAATTTGCAGGCTCTCTTACAGCTTTGCCAAGGGTTAAACAAGACTCAACGTGCCTTCATCACCCACTTTCAAAAGACGATGTTAGAGGTTTAGAATTTAGAAAATACAATCACCCATGTACACTCGAGTTGTTAGAGCTTGCCAACAACCATATGTTGACATAAAAATACAATTTTATCTCCACCTCATTAAGAACAGAACAAACCGGCTGAAACCCACGAAAGAGGATCGCCCATAGAGAAGGGAGGAAGCCAAGACACTACTCTTGCCCTCCTACCTGAGCTTGCCTTGAAGACTCACAAACACTCCTAGACAGTCGTACGTTTGAAATAACTCTTTATTGAAGACATCAAGCATGGTATCTTGAACATCGATCGAACTAATACATGGAAAAATCACCATCTACCCACAAGATCTCCATGCCTACTTATTTGGGAGTTTCAATATCCAAAATAGTAAAAGTTATTCAAAGCAATGACTACGTCAAGATGGTGATTTTGATGAAAATCAAAGCTTATCTTTGAGATTTGAAGAAGTACTACGTATACCATTGCCACCATGATAATGATGCGAAGGAGTGTATCCACCTTCGAAGCTTAAATTTAGGAGTTCGAGCACTGGAGCAACCACCCAACAACAAGGAAAAGCTTCAATTGGAGGAGTAACGAGTGAGCTGGCCCGAGCTCTTGCAATTAACATTGCAAATGTAGTTCCTGCCATCTTCGAAGGAAGGAGAGGTGATTCGACACATCAAACCAGCTTTAAGAGACTCTAATTGAGCGAGTTATGTGTATCTGCCCTATTGCCACGACCCCTCTAGCTTTTTTATTGATGAAGACTTGCTCTTAAGGGCAATTCATATAATGGCACTATCGGACCAATAATGACATTGATAATTTTTTCGGACTAAGAAAATCTTTTAATGCAAATCACAAGGATGAGCTAATCAATACTCTCTGAAACCATCGAGGTGTGTTTGCTTGGTCAGCCACTGAGATGCCTAGAGTCCCGATTAACGTTTCCTTCCAACGAATGAACGTCAACTCGACGAGTTGTTCCATAAATCAGAAGATGAGGACATATGTGGTCATGTTATCCAAGCCAATATGATAATAAGTACATAAGTTACTCGAAGCTGGCTACATTCAAGTGGTTCAATACTCGTGAAAGGCATCTAGCATGGTCATGATCCAAAAGGCAAATAAAAAATGAAAGATGACCAACCTAAACACTGAAAGATAGTTACCCCATACAAAGAATCGACACGCTTGTGGTTGTGATAGACGATCACTCAGTCAGGAGCTTCCTCGATGCTTTCTCCAACTATCACCAAATCAAGATACGCCCAACAACACGGAGATGACTTGTTTATCATGAGTGAAGGATATTGCACGAGTTAACAGTGTATGGTGGATGTAATTTTTAATAAATAAAAAGGAAAAAATATTGAAGTGTATGTGGATGATGCATTATCAAAAATTAAAACACCTGAGAAACACATATAAGATCTAAAAGAGACTTTTGAAACCTTAAGAAAATTTAGCATGAAACTCAATCCACTTAAATGCACAATCAATGCATCAACAGGAAAATTTTAAAGATATATATTATCCCCCTGTTGACCTCACTTTTGGTTGAGGTCTAGAAAACTTCTTTAGTAGCCTGGACTTTCCTATTGACTGGTCTTAGAAAATTAGAAAAGGTACCCCCACCATTAGAAATTCAAAACTCTTCTTTTTACTCAACTTGAAATTCCACATATTGATCTTAACCTCTAGCATTTAGTAAATAAGATCATTATAAGAGAATTCAAGAAGAGTCCCTATAGGATTACTTGGCTTTAGGATTGACTCTAGGTGTTGACTTGAAACTAGGGTACACCATATCTTCACAATACATTAATCCATGGTTCATTTAGAACGGATATCTATCCAATTCTATGTGAAATGCCTAACTTGGTCTTTTGCCCCTAGGCACCTCCAAACTACCTAACTACCCTTGGGACCCAAATTTGGCTAAAATTCCCAAATTTTGCCAAAATACCCAAAATTGATCAAAACCCATTTCAAACACCTTGAATACATCCAAATTTGTCAAAATTTCCAAAAATGACCAAATTACCAAGATACCCCCTCCATGACCCAAAAAATCCAAAAATTCCAAAAATTCCTAAAAAA